GTTTTCTCTAAGGGAGACCCTAAAGAAATAAGATGCCTTTTGTAAGGTTTTGTTTTCCCTAGAGATGTCCATTGAATGCAAACTCATAGCCATGTCTCCATGTGTAGGACACTACACAGTACCTTTAGTTTGGTTCTAAAAACAGCAGATTGTTTGTCTACTGGTAATTACTTCAGTTTTTATTTAATTATGCTGATCATAAAGCAATGTTTACACTGTGATATGTCATTGGCTGATTTTTAATAAATGTTTTAACCAGTGTTTCAGACTCATTTTGAATTGACATTAGCTTGGTACAACGTTAAGTAGCTTCTGATGTAGTTAGGCTACTGTTAACACATTAGTGTAACTTAGCTTGCTATAATTCTTTAGGTGGTAGCTTTTGTGTAGTGAAGCTTAATTTATTGTTGAGTAACTGATAGCTTAGCTCACTACACTGGACAAGTAGCTTGCCCAACACTGTAATTTGGTTAGAATAAACACTGTAATGATCAAAATTTGAACAAACCACCAGACAAAGCCAGTGTTAACACGTCAGTATTTAAAAGTATTTTCTCTTCTCTACGGTTATCTACATAGGTGGAGTCATCTGTACAAGACAGGCTCCCACTCTAGAGGTTGATGGTTCAAGACTTGCCCTTGACTTTTAAAAGTTACGATTAAACTTAATTATTTTGGCTGATGAGACTAATTTGCATTGTTTTGCCTGAGTAAAAATATAGATTGGGTAAATTAGGTTGGTGCAGTCAAAAGATTGGTTGAACACAACTTCCAACCTGATTAAAACCAAAAAACGTGGAAAAACTATCATGTTTGAATAAAAGTGACTAACACCTTTCTTCTGCTGATCATTGCCCAAGTTGCACAAACACTTTCACTGTCTGCTTGAGTTTATTTCACTAAAATGGCAGAAAAACTGTGAACCTTAAATGATTGTTCTAAGAAATTTTATTATACACACAAACCATTAATAATTTCAAGGGAACTTAAAAGGGAAAAAAAAAAGAAAAACAGTTGCAACAAAAAAAATCACAGATTTTATTACTAACTGTAGTTCTGCATTCCACCAGTAGGTGGTGACATGTTCACATGGAGCCTCGTGAACTGTTGGGATCTTGAAGCAATTTGGCCAAACGGTTCAATGCCTCATGAGGCTTCATCTCACCATCACTACTTTAAAGCAACCTTTGCAGAGTCACATGATAACACAACCTAATTTGGTCATATTTATGCTTTTATATTCAACTGTTGATTTCTATAAACTATTACTTCTTTGATTCAGCCCTCACCCATCTACTTAATTACAATGTTTTGCTTAATTAAAAACAAGAACAAACATAAATTTCAATTGGTCCATGTCTTAATAACAGATAATTCTACATTTAATATTAACTGACATATGTATAACCTTACATCGACTTCACCAGATGTTGCTGATGAATTCACAATGAATTCATTTTATTATTTTTTTTCTAATCTGGGGAAACAAAATAAATTGAATTGACCTTTACAGTCTATATACACTACACTGGACTCTACTCATGTGTTTAAGTGTTTTCATTGAAAAGCAGAACATCACACATTCATTATACATCTTATTAGTGACTTTTGCAGATTTAAGTCGTGAAGACACATCTGTTTTTTCTTTGCATCTAGTTTTTTTTTATAAAATGTGGGAAGAAAGGATGATTCTTAGCACCCTCGGTTATATTCTTATGCTTTAAGCCCCTGAAGAGAGAAACCTCTGGAGCTGCCACTGCTGTAGGTAAGTTATTCTTATAGACGTGGGATTTATTTGTGTGTGTACCATTAGTAGGTAATCAGATTAATCGTGTCAGTCCTACTAATTTCTATTTTCCTAGGCTAAATTTTACAAAGTTCCCTGTGTTTTCGTACAACAATTTAACAAATACAATTACAATTAATTTGTTGCAAATTTAAGTGAGCAGAGGTATAATGTAGTATGGATGGACAGACGGACAGAGATTGACAGATACAACGCCTTGCTGAATAATCCTGCACACCCAATTTCTGAAATTTGTTGAAATAGTTTAAAATTTCCAAAGAATTTAGTTCCACTTGAGGACTGTTTTCCACTTGTGCATTCTTCATAAAAAAATAATATCCTAATGTTTGAAGCCTGGAATGTGGCAAAAAGTAAAGGAGGCCAAATATTTTCACAAGGCATTGTAGATTTATGGACCAATGGAAGGAAGGATGATCAAATAAGGATGGATGGAGGGTGGAAGTCTATATATTAAGATCAGACTCAGTCCATATAGAATAAAGAGCTACAATTTTTCCTCTATCATAGTGATAATTTTAATTACTTTAAATCTTTTTCTCATCATCTTCTCCTTCTTTCCCATCGCCCTGCTTGCCACAGGTTTCCCTGCTGTGTCTAAAAGTAGCAGCAGCAGCAACCCAAACTGACAGCAGCTCATTGGCATAGTTGGATCACGTGTGGCCTGGTGACGCAGGGCTTTACCATATTAACAGGAGAAGTGGTGCAAGTGAAGTTAGACACTGTCGTCGGACAACATGCGGTAATTTCTAAATGTTTTAAATCCGGTTGGATCCGGACAGCGGCCTCCTAATCTGTGGCCTCAGGACTAGAGTAATAAGAAAAAGACCTCACCATCGGAGAGGGTTAAGAACGTTCTCTCCAGCCAAGTTGACAGCACCATCACATGGCGGCAGGCCGCGAGACTCAAGTTCACCCTGCAGGAGAGAAAAAAGTACAATCTCAAGGATTTATGACGTTATCTTGATTTACAGAGATGCATGGTGAACAGTCTAGTGATCAAAAGCTAGAAAAAGAAAAAAAAAATCCATCACTGTTAATCATCTGGGAGAACCTTTCAGCTGCAGAATCGGTAGGATGTAACATGGAGGAACTGAGGCTGCTGATCTTACCCATGTTATCTTTCCTGGACCAGGCTGACGGGATATCACTGTGACCTCGTGGCCCTTGTCTCTGAGAAGACGCGTCAGTTCACGACCCACAAATCCAGAGCCTCCTCCTGAGAGGCACACCAGTCAAATAAACAGGTATAGGAAAGGTATAGGGAATAGGAAATTATGGGAAAATAGGAAATTAGTGCATTTGCTGATCTAATATTACTAACATAACCAATGTTTTATTTTTGTATAAACTGTTTAAAAACTAAAGTTCTGTATATAAGAACTAAAAGAAATTAAAATATCCAAAAAGGAAGACAGGATTAATGGAAAGACAAAGTAATAATATTGACTACTGCTTGTGCACCAGGTAGTGGTGCAAGTGATATTAAATTAAAACTAAAACTATATTAATAAAACTAAAGTTAGTTGATCTTATCCATCGATGTATTGATAACAGAACATTAGGTATTTTAATCAACGTCCCTAAAAATCAAGCAGAATAATAGAATAAAGTGCGCATGCGTATTATGCATGCTTACAAAACAAAACACGAGTGAGTTTATCTTACATACTAACAGATTTTCTTTTAAAACTGCGTGCATTTATTTACTTAACTCAACACCAGCTTTTTACACGTAGGTGACTGACTGTTTGCATTTAATATATGTTTAATTTAGCAACTGTCTGCAGTTTTAACCTTAGCTTAGCAGCCTCATAAGCTAGCTTGCAGTAATTGACCTTTTTGACAATCTACAAATAAACAGAACTGGGGGGAAAAAGTTTCCTACCGATTAAGACTCTCATGGTTAAAAGTTTCCTCCCAGCACAAGATTTAAATCCCTTGACGCCGCCGCTTGTATAATTTTGCTCCTCTGCTAGTGTCCCTCAATCTTTCATAACGCCTTTTTGGACCAATGGGCGTTCCGTAAGAAAACATTGCGAGTAGGACGTTGTAGTTTTTTTTTTCTCCGTAATTTTTCTTTTTCTTCTTTATAGGATTTTATTGGCGGTTGGCCCGCAACGAAATGGCGCTTTACCGCCACCAACTGGATGGAGTGTGAATCTGAATGGCTAATACCTACTTATACTGAACAAAACAAAATCAATAAAACAAAAACTAACAAAACCAAAATAAGATTCAAATCCTCTCATTTACATTGATTAATCTAAGATAATGAAAAATAATTACATAACACTCATCTCTTTAGTTCTTTCTTAGGATTTCTATTAAATTAAAGTGTATTCTCTCTTTTTTAAGATTTTTGAACCAATTTCCTCCTTTTTCTTTCATATTTCTTACAGTGTACCCTAACATGTTCAATTGTTTCTTGTTGCTCACTGTATTCACACATGTCGGTGTTATGTTTGCCTATTTTTTCCTGTATCTGCTGAGAACATCTTCTTCTTGTAGTTTCTTCTTCTTCTTCTTGTGAGGTTTTATGGCGGTTGGTAAACTAGTTAAAAGTTTATTCCCACCACCGACTAATAAGGAGTTAAACAAGGAAACAGGAAACAAGACTCACCCCAGAAAAAAATAAACTAAAAAAAAAAAATCAATATTTTTCCTAACTGTTTAACTTAATCCAACATAATAAATACTTAATCAAATTCGTCCTCATAATTTCTAATTTGTCTTTATGCTGTCGTCACTCTTCCAGTTTCTAATGGTCCTACTCGTTTTCCCATCATACTTTCAACAGTTTCCCGGTTTAAATCTTTCTTTTCCGCAGCGTTCACTATTATTTTGATTTTTTTTTTGTTTTCTTTGTCATCTCGGCACTACAATTGATCACTTGTACCATGAAAACCCCATTGTAGCTCATATAACCAATGAAAACCTTACTTGATAAATTCCCTTCTTTGAATTTGATCAACACTAATAAGCTGTCACACCTTTCTCCATTTCTTGTTATTTTTAACCGTTTCCCTTGTTTTACTTTTTCCCCACAATTTTCTAGAATTTCTTTGTCAGTTACTTTAAGAGGCCCTCCTCCATTACTCCCCTGCTAATCCTTTTGTTCTCCACCAAGCTGCACTGAGATCTTTTCCACATCAATCTTGTTGATGCATATAGCTTTGCCTTGAGCGCTCTCTCCCTGATTAACTACTTTGAATATTACTTTGTCATCATTTTGTTTGTCAATGGAATATCTAGATTGTTCATTAATTGATTGTTTTGTGCTGGACTCCCCTTCAATTGGTCTCTGCTTTATCTATTTTTTTTTATCCTACTTTATTCCAATCTTCTTCGTTTTCACTATTTCCTTATTCCTACCCCCAAAAAAATAGCTTCCTGTTTCCTTGCCACTCATTTCAGTTTATTTATATAGCGCCAATTAACAACACATGTCGTCTCAAGACACTTTACAGTTCACCAAATCATACAGTCAAATTGATACAAAGTTTTCTATCTAAGGAAAACTAGTTGATTGCATCGAATCATTGACTCTTCAGCAATCCCTCACATTAAGCATGCTTGCAGCGACAGTGGAGAGGAAAAACTCCCTTTTAACAGGAAGAAACCTCCAGCAGAACCAGGTTCAGTGTGGGCGGCCATCTGCTGAGGCCGACTGGGGTTCATACTCACATCCCAGGACATTTCTCGTTGATAACATCTACTGGCTTCATAAATATTATATATAAATACTATATATAGAGAGAGAGAGATAGAATACAGTCCAAAGTAAAAAACTGGATCATTTTCTTTTTCAAGTAAAGCTAATTAGTTTTCATTCACATTATTTTCATTAATACTTTAACTTTCCATTTTTCTCCACATTTTTAAGATGACAAAATATTGTAAAGTGAAAGGATTGTATTTGTTTGACTACTGGCAGCAGTTTAACACGCACACACATTACTGCAAAAAGCATGGTGGTGGCAACATCATGATGTTGGGAAGCTTCGCTCTAGCCCTGATATTTTCCCATCAGAGTTAATACCGAAATTGACTAGGGTAAATCCAACCATTTTAAAATGGGTCTGGGATTTGAAAGAAGAGCAAATGATCTCCTTCGACTTGAAACATGCACCTAGAGCTGTACTTTAAGCATGTTCATAGAAAGACCCAGTTAAGGTTTAAATCTAAATTTGGTTAAGAATCTGTTGCAGCACTTAAAAACTGATATTTCAAAGAGACCAAGCTGTATGGGATGTGACAGAGTTTTGGCTATCATGGAAAAAGGAATGATCTAAAATCCTGGACTCTAGATGTGCAAAGCAGGTGAGGACAAAAAATAGAACTTTTAAAGCAGTATCTGAAGGGAAAGGTGTCTGAAAGTACTGAGTGGGGCAGAAAATGTATGCATTCCAGGCTTTCCTTTTTATTTTTGCAAGTTTGAAAATTATGTTTCATTTTGTGTGTTCTAATTTTCTTCTGGGTGTTAGACTTAGACAGACTTTATTGCAATTTTGTACACACTGGGTGTATACAAAAAGAACAGCTCTATCACAGCCGTCATATTTGTGTTTCCCTTTTTTCTTTATTTTTCCTCTTTCTCACCTCCACTAAGCAGGCAGCGTGTCCCTGTGGAAAGATTCGCCTACTTCCTGGTTTCTGGGAATCTGACTTCAGTCCATCCATTGGTTCCCTCAGTTCCACCTCAACCAGACATTTCCATTGCTAAAGTGCAGCAGAAATAAAAAGTAAGCAGCAGTGATCAAATATATACCAGCCATAAGACTGGTATATATTCCAACATTCAGCACTTTTTATTTATTTATTTTTTTTAAACCCATTTAATTCAACAGTTCAGCAGTCTAATGGCGGTGGGGAAGAAGCTGTTTTCCCAGAGGGCAGCAGGGAGAACAGTTCATGGTGGGGGTGTGAGGGGTTATTTATAATGTTATGGGCTCAGGACACGCAGCGCTGGGATGAAATGTCTTTAATGAAGGGAAGAGGAGCCCCCATCATCCTCTCTGCTGTTCTCACCACTCTCCTCACCTTCCTCCAGTCTGAGGCGCTGCATCCTCCACACCACACAGTGAGACAGCTGCTCAGAACGCTCCCCATGGTGCTTCTATGTGTTATAAATTCATATGTATTGGCTGTAGGGGCCTTCAGACAGTAAACAAGAAACTAATTACATACGGTATGTACTCGTTTAGTAATTTGAGATCATTTTTATTGTAAAAAATAATATTTATTTGGTTCTACTACATCCTTTGCCATTTTAGATGTGATTTTGTGTAGTATAGTGACTATAGCATTGTGTTTTTTTTTTCATTAAAATGTAATACAAAAAAAAAAAAAAAAACTCAGTTAAAATGTTTGCCTGAGGGAAAAATACAGAATTAGAATTAAATGTCTTACTTAGGTCAATTGTGTTATTTTAAGCCTCCGAAGATGAAATAAAAGTTTATTGTAAAACAAACCTATACTTAAGTAATTCATATTTTTATTTTTATTATTATTTGCACATAGGAGCCTTTAGATACCTTAATTTTCAAAGAAAAAGGCCTAAACCGGAAGTTGCCCGGTGTGACGTCACGCACGTGGTTTGATAGAGACATAAATCAAGGCGCCGCCTCATTAACGTTCTTTCCTCCTCGTTGCGCTGGAAGGTGAAGGAGCTTCCCCTGCAGTGGAACCAGAGAGCAGCGTTTTTTAGGAGCTGGAAATCCGGTAAATGTTTGTTTTTAAAGTCGGCCTTGGTTCCTCCTGAGCTGATGCTCTGATGCTGAAGCAGGTGGATGAGCTTTTTAGCGCAGAGCAGCTTCGCCTTTTTGTTGCAGGCTTAGCGCCAAACCAAACCACATGGTTTGATCTCACAGGAGATGCTCGACAATAAAAGGCTTAAAAATATATAGAAACTGTAAATCCTTGGTCATGCCTAGTTTATCATTTATATTAAAACTGCCAAGTAAACTTGAAACTAAATCACAAATTTGTTTTGGGGCTTTATATGCATTTAGTGCAGCAAAGGATTGATTAACTTTTAGTTGAAATCCTAATTTATTTTTTTGTAAATGGTTAATTAAAAAAAAAATGTAATTTATCCACTATGAATGTGAAATCCACAGAAAAATCTGATTTTTGTTAATCTTACAATGGGAAGTTTGCTGACTTCAGTCTTTGTATTACATAGAAAGTTTAGTGCAAGGAAAAACTCTTGCATTTACATCTGAATCAGTGCACAAAGGGATGAGTTAACAAGCTCCTCAGTTGTGCCGGCTTTTGTAAATGTCTTTTATTTTTTAAATACACTATAAATGAGCCACTTTAATATTTTAGGTAAAGTTTTTCTAATGCACTGCTGCATCTGCCCTCAGCTCCATGGTAGAGTAGCAACAGTTAAAAGCAGTTTCTGTTCTGTGATGAATTTTTGGAGTCAAACCTTAATGATGATTTGCATGTGAGTCCGTGTTTCACCTGAAGCCGATGATTATACTTTCACTGCACTGATGGGTTTGACATCGTGATGCACTCAAAGTAGAGTCCCTCACAGTTTAGAATAAATGTTAATTTCTCTTCTTTTTTTATGTTTTAGGAAAGAATCTGCTTCTTATGTTCCTCAAGGTAAGATTTGTTTTTTGGTTCTAAAACTGATGTGAAACATGTAAGCCTGCTTCTGTTCATTTGATATTACTAGATTAAATGCTTTCCTGCCCTACTTGTTCACATTTGTTGGAGTTTTGTTTATGGTTGTTAAAATGGATCTTTAATTGGTCTGTTTTCTACAGGTGGGACATCAGGACTTCACTGGATGGGATGGGCCAACTCCAGTCCTCCAGGTCTGGCCAATAGCTTAGCTGCTAATGAGCTGACAGATTCAGTGCTTTAGCAGCTGAGCTACTGGCAAATGAATGTACTCTAAATATTTTGTCTGTTTTAATGTATTTGGAGACCCTGATGAGGGGGAAATGGCTGCTCTCTAATAAAGAATAAACTAAAAAGTCTTCTGTGTAAATTATTTGGTCCCTAAG